GACTTAATTCTAAAATGTTCTAGAAGCAACAAACACTCTCTCTCGAACAATAACGTTCTTATTGGTCATCTTTATATCCCTCTTGAGGATCAGGACCAGGATCAGAACAGATTCTCTCTCTCTCTCTATTATCGTTTTTTTTTGGCGGGGAGGGGGGGGGGGGGGGGGAGGGAGGAGGCAAGAGCCCTTCGCCCCCGTTTCCCTCTTTTCTTATTCTTTTTCCTCTTCTTTCTTTCCTTTTATATTTTCTTTCCCTTTCCCTTCTCTCTCTCTCTCTTATTTATTTTTTGGCGAGGGGAGGCAATAGCCCTTCGCCCTTCCCCCGTTTCCCTCTTTTATTCTTCTTCCTCTTCTTTCTTTCCTTTTATATTTTCTTTTCCTTTCCCTTCTCTCTCTCTCTCTCTTATTTATTTTGTTGGCGGGGGGGGGGGGGGGGGGGAGGCAAGAGCCCTTCGCCCTTTGCCCTTCCCCCGTTTCCCTCTTTCCTTCTTATTCTTTTTCCTCTTCTTTCTTTCCTTTTATATTTTCTTTCCCTCTCCCTTCTCTCTCTTTCTCTTATTTATTTTTTGGCGAGGGGAGGCAAGAGCCGTTCGCCCTTCCCCGGTTTCCTTCTTTTATTGTTCTTCCTCTTCTTTCTTTCCTTTTATCTTTTCTTTCCCTTTCCCCTTCCCTTCTCTCTCTCTCTTATTTTTTTTTTGGCGGGGGGGGGGGGGGGCGGGGGTGGAGGCAAAAGCCCTTTGCCCTCGTTTCCCTCTTTTCTTCTTCTTCCTCTTCTTTCTTTCCTTTTATCTTCCCTTTCCCTTTCCCTGCTCTCTCTCTCTGATTTATTTTTTGGTGGGGGGGGGGGGGGGGCAATTAGAGTCCTTCGCCCTTCCCCCGTTTCCCTCTTTTCTTCTTCTTCCTCTTCTCCCATTCCTTTTATATTTTCTTTCCCTTTCCTTTTCCCTTCTCTCTCTCTCTTATTTATTTTTTGGCGGGAGGGGGGGGGGGGAGGTAAGAGCCTTTCGCCCTTCCCCGTTTCCCTCTTTCCTTCTTCTTCTTCTTTCTTTCCTTTTATATTTTCTTTCCCTTTCCCTTTCCCTTCTCTCTCTCTCTCTTATTTATTTTTTGGCGGGGGGGGGGGGGTGAGGAGGCAAGAGCCCTTCGCCCCCCAGTTTCCCTCTTTCCTTCTTATTCCTCTTCTTTCTTTCCTTTTATAATTTCTTTCCCTTTCCCTTCTCTCTCTCTCTCTCTCTCTCTCTTATTTATTTTAGGAGGCAAGAGCCCTTCGCCCTTCCCCCGTTTCCCTCTTTCCTTCTTATTCCTCTTCTTTCTTTCCCTTTCCCTTCTCTCTCTTTCTCTCTCTTATTTATTTTTTTGGCGGGGGGGGGGGGGGGAGGTAAGAGCCTTTCGCCCTTCCCCCGTTTCCCTCTTTCCTTCTTCCTCTTCTTTCTTTCCTTTTATATTTTCTTTCCCTTTCCCTTTCCCTTCTCTCTCTCTCTCTTATTTATTTTTTGGGGGGGGGGGGGGGGGGTGAGGAGGCAAGAGCCCTTCGCCCCCCCCCCCAGTTTCCCTCTTTTCTTCTTATTCTTTCCTTTTATCTCACCTTTCCCTTTCCCTTTTTTCCTTCTCTCTGTCTCCCCCATCAACATAGTAATAACAAAAGAGACCACTCTGTAATCAAGACCATTCCATTTTATTTAATACATTTTCGATATACTTAAATTGGCAACTATTACCTTTTGTCCGAGATCCTCATTTTAAACGACTGATGCGAAAGACTAGTCGACGCACCCTTTAGAGAAAAGCCCCCCCCCCCTCTTTTATCGAAAGGGTGTGTTAAAACGGTACTCCGCTCTCAACGCACCCTTTCGAGAAAAGCCCCCCCTCTTTTATCGAATGGGTGCGTTGAGCACACCACACCGCGCCGCGCCGCACCGCACCCTTTCGATGAAAGCCGACCATTATACATCATTTTCTAAGCGATGGGACTCAAAATAAAGAGTTCGCATCTTCCTGACGAAATACTCAATCTTTATGTTACTACTTGAAAGTGTGTCGTCTTATTTCTGAGTTCATTATAATAAAACACTACAGTTTGCAGTTGTCAGTATTTCGAAATATGTCAAATTATTTTACTTTATGGTTGTCAAATTTGGCATGTGCGTGCATGTATGTATGCATGTATAAATTTATGTACATGTGTTTGGGTATGTGTGTGTTTGTTGTTTGTTCGTGTGTGGGTGCGGGTGTGTGTATGTGTGTGTGTTGTGTGCTTGCGTAAATTAGTGTGGGCGTGTGCTCGTGCTAGTATGTGATGGCTATCGCCGATCATCCCCCACTCCTCGGTACGGATTTACGCCCCTGCCTGTAACTCTCTAGTGGACAAACTGTAGGCCTAACAACTTTATAGCAGCTTGCTTGGTCTGTCAGTCTCTGAACAGAATTTTGTAGTGCTTGCGGCTTCGGAAGCGATCAATCAAGTAAAAGTATGCATCTTATTTTTACGGAATAGACGCACGGCGTGATCAAATCAAGGCTACATGTACTATCGTAAAGAACTCGGAAATTAAGACCGTAACAGAAGTTCGGAACACGATCAAGATGACACACGCCGCGGGTACAATATAAAAAAAAGAAATAGAATAGACAAAAGAACGATTTATTTTCAATTGTGAGCAGCAAAATTGGATCATTAGGCCTATATAGGCATTACGAACAACAGATTAAAGCATAATAGATAGCGATAAAGGTATTGGAAGGGATTGAAACCCCCTCATCCTTTGTATACTGATGCGCTCTGCATGTGAATACTGATTGATATTTTCCTTCTAAGTTCTGTGAAACTGAAATTGAACTCATTTTCTGGGCCCCAGGAAACCACTCTTTTACTTTCGTTTCTACGGGATACTGACAGGCAACATCGATCGACGTAATGACGGGACAGCGCCCAAGAGAGAGACTGGCTTTCGCGATGGTGGTGATAATTGCATTGAATTTGTGTAATCCTGCACAACCGAAGGGTAATTATAACGTCTTATTTACGTCTTGTATTACGTCTTACTTTACGTCAAAAGACGTAAACATGCCCCGGCGTACGACGTCGTGAGGACAGAGGCGTCAATCATTGTTATCCTTTTTGTATAGTTACAGGTCAATAGTAGTTCCAAAAGAAAAAGGGCAAGAATGATAAAATATATTTATGGGGTTTTCGGTGTCAGAGAATATTATCATAATGTCCTTTTGTCGATTTGAGGTCTCCTTTGGGCTGTCATACTAGTCATATTGGACAAATCTAAAATGGCCGCAATTTGAGTTAAAGGTCAAGGGTAGTTTCAGAAGAAAAAGAGTAAGAAAAGTAAAAGTTTTTAGAAATATGGCCGTTTCAGGGTCAGCAAATCTGATTATGATGGTCTGTAATTGATGTGAGGTCTCTGTTAGGTTGTTACAATGGTCAAGTCCAATATGGTTGCCATACGGGCAATTGCTATGTGCTTACTTAGAGTTTCTTCTCGTTTGTGGGATATAATGTTGGGATTAAAATAATTTTATGGTTATATCAGTGGTTAACATGCACACTTTACATACCGACATTCATTAGTTAACCCCCACATATACACAAACACCGCACAAACACCACCCACACACACACGCACACACACACGCACACGCACACGCGCACACATACAAGCCATCATACGATTTAGTCTGTCAGTTCTGTTTATCGTAAGGAAATAATATTCTTGTCAATTTTGATCGTAAGAAGTTAAAACATGGTGGACATGGCTTCACCAATAATTATTTCGTGGTATAAATATTGTTGCTTTGTTTATGACCTGACGTTATAAATTCTTTAATTGTCAGGGTATATTTCTCAATTACTTATTTCACGTGAGTTGTAATTCTACTTCTTTCTCAGTTGTTATATAATACAGTTCCTTATATGTCATTTTACCTGGATTTTATTGTGTTTTCCATACATAATCCTGTTTTCCATACATAATCCTAGAATGGATGTTAAAAAAAAAAACCTTTAGAGTACTGTCATCTGACAGGCTCTTTTATTTATGGTCTGCGTGAGTCACGGTATCCCTCCAAAAGAATCATAAAACAAATGGCGACTGGCTGAACAACACACGTGCTTCTTAACCTCTCCAAAAGATATATTTGTATACACTCTAGATAACATCTTCAAACAATCCACAAGTGGCAATTATTCCTGAAAGGTTTACTTCTCAATTGGAACATGTTAGTTTTCCATCATGACCCGCCGTAGCCAGAAAGAAGGAGCAAAGAAAGCCAACAAGAATGAGGGAGCAAACTTCTCCATCTTAGACGATGAGCTGGATGGTGCTGCTGCCGCTCCTGACGGGCCAGCTGAAACCTCAAATCCCGTAGAGGAAGATGACTTGGGCTCTGTCACCCCGTCTGCACTAGCTGAATATATTAAAGGTGCATCATGCAACTTCGAACAGATGATGAACAAGGCTATGAAAAATATGTTGGAAAGTCTTCAGAAAGTGGAAAAGGCCCTTGAATTTGAGGGTCTCCGGATCAATGATCTAGAACAGAAGAACAAGGAGCTGAAAAGCAGACTAGGAAAGATGGAGAAAGCTTATAATGATCTGGAACAGAGAGTTAGTAATCAAGATCGTGAAGCCAACAAGGCTGAACGATTCTATCGGAGAAATAATCTGCGGATCGTCGGGATTGAGGAATCAACAGGCGATCAAACAGAGGATTGTGTCGTGAAAGTGGAAGACATCTATGGTGGCCCTGAAGGGACATCGCGAATAGACTAAATCGCGAAAAATTGGCGATAAAATTCACGATTTCGTCAATTTTATCGCCAATTTTTCACGACGAAATTCACGAAATTCACGATATCGTGAACTTTATCGTGAACTTTTCACGATAAAATTGACGATATCGTATATTTTATCGTGAAAAGTATACGATAAAGTTCACGATAAAATTGACGATATCGTATATTTCATCGTGAATTATTTTCTCCTGGCCTGGGCGGTTCGTAAACAAAACCAGCTAGGCCTAGATCTATAGCTTGATTGAAGACGATTATTATGACGAGACATTTTTAAGATGATCGATTTCTGTGAAAATGGTAGGTTTAACTTCATATTATGCTCTATTTGTATTTTATTTTTGACAAGATAGGGATAAAAGTAATTGCACAGCGGAAAAATTATCCGGTATGCAATTAATGGTCTAGAGATGCACTCAATGCATTTTCCCATAGGCCATACATTCATTTCCATGTTGTAGAGGTCTAATAGGTCTAACGTTAGACCTAGTATTGAGTAATGTATTAAATTGATCTCGATCTAGGCCTACTTTTATTAGTAGGCCTACGAACTAGCACACTCAATTTCTCAAACTGAGTCAACAAAGACTGACAGAGTGATTGCAATAGCACACTCGTAATCGTCGACTAGATCTAGACGCAAACTGAGCTGAGCTGAGCTGATTCAATTCGATGTAGGCAAGCACCAGATCTATAGATCTACAAATCATGATAGATATATACAAGGGATCGTTTAACAATGTTAAGTCTGACTCTGAGATGCAATCATGCCATGGCCCTAGATCTATGTGTTATTTATAATATTATTATGTCTGTGATACAGTGTAATATCATTATTTTATGTCATGATTATACTAAGGGGCGCTGGTCCGAGAATGAGGATCGTCTGCATAAACAAGGATATCCTAGTCGTAAAAACTGACAAATTGCGTTCGTGAACGTCTTTTTTTATCGGCACTCTGCAGGTTTCAGGTTCCCAGCGCGGGCATCGGGGCATGCAAAAAAACAGATTCCTTGTAAGAAAATAACCCCAGTCTCCTTGGCACTTGTTCAGAAACGTGACCCGTAACTCCGGCGTGGAGATACCCTACTATAACATACCCAAATTAAAGTAAATATTCATTAAATGTCCAAATAAGATCATGAGTTAAAAGTCGCTATGTTTATTACCTGTTTCGTGTCAATTTTTTTGTCATTTTTGGAGTATTTTTTTGAAAAACAATGATATTACTATACACTTTTTCTCAGGTTTCATGGCAAACCGCTGCACAATACAAGTGCATATCGATGGTGAGTTGCGGGCGGCGCACGCCTGTGTGAAGTTATCTACCATAATGAGGATCCAAGACATTACTTCACACAGGCGCGCATCTGCCCGCAACCCACCATCGGTTTGCACTTGTATTGTGCAGCGGTTTGCCGTGAAAAAGTGTAGGTATACTGATATCATCGTTTTTCCGAAAAATACTCCAAAAATAACAAGATTTCTAAACAAGCGCCATCTTCTTTTATGGGTTGTCCGTCTTCTCGAGGATTTATCGCCCCTTACATGTATGTGAAAGTCTCTGTACAAACTTAAGTCAATGTAAAATGCATCGATAAAAACATCGCGGAATCCGTTTTTCGCATCACCAACGCGCGGATTGGAAATTGGAAACGTCTGCGAAAATGCAGACGATCCTTATTCTTGTACCAGCTTCCCTACTGAATATTGAAGCCCTAATCAAATTTCGCTTCAAAATGATCATGAAGTGGCTCAAAAAAGTAATAATCTTTGAGTGACCGGTTTTACCATACTTATTTTCCTGAATAGACTAGGCTTAGGCCCTAGTTTATAAAAACCATTAAGAAAACGCAAAGTTTAATTTCGATTTCCAATCATAAATAACTTGATAATCAGACAGACGATTGGTTTGTAAAAGTCACGGGATTCCTGACCGACCTTACAGAGGCTAAGCTAAAGGTTTAAAGGTTTAAAATTATGATTGCAGCATGAGCTAAATCCATGATTTTGTTTCAGAATCTGAGGCAATGTTACCGAGTCACTTTAAGTTAGATCTATATTACTATTAGGTATTTACTAGTCTATTTAGTGAATTTCGGCTAGCACCCAGGCCAGGGGCCCGTTTCTCGAAACCGTCATAAGTCTAACTTCTTGACCAAATCAGCTTTAGTAAGCTACTTGTCCGCTACATGTTTAACTAAGATCTCTTTGCCAAGATTAAGGACAACATCCTGACTAAGTACTACCGTATGTATTTATGACGCCTCTGACACGGTTATATATCTGTCATAAACTTGATAAAAACATAAAACTCATAACTTTTTAGTTGATGGGCAGCGAACTCGTAGAGTCCTACGATGCATGAAGTCTAACCGTAAACGCTAAAGGGTAATCCAATCACAGTGTGATTATCTTACAAAAATTCATCTCTTGGAGTAAAAAAAAAGTGTTATGATGTTTTTCTTTTTGTTTTATAATGTGCAAAGTTTATCACTAGATTTTGTTTGCATATGTTTCTTTTATTATTCATTCAACAGATTACCTGGTTGGCATTCATGCAAGCAAGCCCTACAACTTGTAGTACAACTGCCATGTATCAACACTCCATACAAACCAGCTCAGGATGATGGGAACTAAGCTGAATGTATCCTTATTGAGTGTATGCGTTTAAATGATAACAAAATAAAAATTATCTTAGATAATGATGGGTTATAGATTGCTAAGCTGCTGTTACAGACACTGATGTTGTTTCCCTTCATATCCCTCGCATTCCCTTCTCTTTAACAACCCCTGGGGGCTGGCCTAAGATGTTGTTTTCTTTAAGAAGGAGTGTTACTACAGTCGAACGGCTTGTAATGCTTTTTTTTTAATTGTCCTTGCTAAAAACCTAGTTGATACATATGATAATATAGTTGGGAGAATTCCGGAATTAAGCAGATCATTTTCTATGCCTCCGCTACAAAGTAGCCGGAGGCATTATGTTTTCTGGTTGTCCGTCCGTCCGTACGTCCGTCCGTACGTCCCGTTCTCGTGATCGCGTGATCGCGTGATCTCAAGAACCTATTGATGGATTCCCTCCAAACTTGGATCATGTATGTATCTAACAGAGCCAATGAACTGATTAGATTTTGGGGTCACGAGGTCGAAGGTCAAAGGTCACAGGGCTCATTATGTACCGGTATACAAAAATAGCTCGTGATCGCGTTATCTCAAGAACCGATCGATGGATTCATGCCAAACTTGGGTCATGTATGTATCTAGCAGAGCCAATGAACTGATTAGATTTCGGGGTCACAAGATCGAAGGTCAAAGGTCACAGGGCTCATTATGTATACAAAAATAGCTCGTGATCGCGTTATCTCAAGAACCGGTCAATGAATTCCTGCCAAACTTGGGTCATGTATGTATCTAACAGAGCCAATGAACTGATTAGATTTTGGGGTCACGAGGTCGAAGGTCAAAGGTCACAGGGCTCATTATGTACCGGTATACAAAAATAGCTCGTGATCGCGTTATCTCAAGAACCGATCGATGGATTCCTGCCAAACTTGGGTCATGTATGTATCTAGCAGAGCCAATGAACTGATTAGATTTCGGGGTCACAAGATCGAAGGTCAAAGGTCACAGGGCTCATTATGTATACATAAATAGCTTGTGAATGCATTATCATTAAAACCGACAGATGGATTACAATCAAACTTGAATTTTAAAAATTGCTTCCGTTTTGGTTTGTAAAATTGCTCTATGGCGGAGGCATCATTTTTGACTGCGCGCAGTCAAAATTCCATCTAGTTCAAATTTTGATCATTAATGATAGCCTGTTTTCACTCAAACTTTCAGATTATCTTTAAATGTATATTGAGCATTGAAGTCACTACCTTATCACCATTTTCTCTCATCTGAACAATGTTAACAAGAACCTTAAATGAAGCTTGCACAAGAAATACTTTTATTTGTAAAGGTATGAACTAGAAATGTCCAATAGACACCAGTTTAAATATAAAAAGGACTACTTTATTTTTAAGACCTGTTAGAATTGTCAATGGAGAATTGGGCAGTTACCCTTTTTGTTTAAAAGTTGAAATGCAGTGTACATACCACATGTATGCTCATCTAAAGGTCTGTTAAAATGAGATCTGCTTACTATTCATAAGGACCGCTATTCATAAGGACCGCTTTCATAAGGACCGCCATTCATAAGGACCACTATTCATAATTTGAGAAAAGGGTCATTGTTCATTAGGGTCATTATTCATACATGTAAGAACCGCTATTCATAATCGAATAGGAGGGTTGCTTTTCATAATGTGAGAAGAGGGTGGCTATTCATGATGCGGAATGAGGGTCGCTATTCAAAATACGAGAAAAGGGTCATTATTCATAAGGACCGCTTTCATAAGAACCGCTATTCATAAGGACCACTATTCATAATTTGAGAAAAGGGTCACTATACATTAGGGTCATTATTCATACATGTAAGAACCGCTATTCATAATCAAAGAAGGGGGTCGCTATTCATAATACGAGAAGAGGGTGGCTATTCATAATACGAGAAGAGGGTGGCTATTCATAATACAATAAGAGGGTTCGCTATTCATAATACAGAAAGGGTCGCTATTCATAGAAATTAAATAAGCAAACAAAATTATATTAAAGGTAATACAAAGTTTTGGTATGGGGTCATGAATTTGGTTCAAATGAACATATTGGAAGCATATGCGATCCTACAGTATTCAGTGATCGTTGTCGCGGTTGAAATCAAGTTTAAAGAAGAAATTGTAAATAATTAACTCTTTATGTTGTATAGCTCCCTCTAAAGGTCAAGATATTAATTTAGCATTAAAACAATGTTTCTTGACTAAAATCGACCGATTGGCTATTCCCGTTTGGAAAATATATATCACAACTGCATATTCTGAGATGTTCATTTTAGCAGCTACCATTGGATGGCCGTATAGGCATTGATATTCAAATTTTCTCGAAAGCAGAAGTGTAGTGCTTGTAATGCATCCTTAGGGCATCCAAATATATCAACATTTTCAAGAATCGCTATCCGGCCATTTTCAAAATTCCCAAAACTTTGTATTACCTTTAAGAAAGGGGGGAGGGGGGGGGGGGGGAATTACACCGGTGAATAGGATTATATGTGTGTTGGGTTTTACTGTATTTTTTGTCACCACAGGAGCGGGGCAGATTCATAAGCTACATGAAGGTAATGGGGATGTCTCTATATAATCATCAAAGATAAAAGGTACAATATACTTTAAAAAAAGACATACCGGTAATACAGGGTACGCCATCGTTCGCATAACGCCTAATGGTCACAATATCATATCTTAATGGCTTCAAATCTTGAAAATCTAACTTCCTTACTTATATGGAAAATATATCTTGCTATATTGTGTATAATTTATGAAAGGATGGTATATAACCAGGCGCGGATCCAGGGGGGGGGCCAGCAGGCCCTGCCCCCCCCCCCCCCCAAAAAAAAAAAAGAGAGAGAGAGAGAGAGAGAGAGAAGGAAAAGAAGGGAAAGAGGGGAGAAAGGGAAAGAAAGAAGAAGAAGAAGAGTTGCAATTTTCCCGCCAACAAGTTGTAGTTCAGGGGGGGGGGCAAAAAGCCCTTGCCTCCCCCCTTTCCCCCACCCCCTAAAACAGGGGGAAAGAAGGGAAAGGGAAATAGGAGAGCTAAAAGGAACAAAAAAGAGGAAGAAAAAAAGAAGGGGAGAACAGTTACGATTTTTCCCGCCAATAAGGTGTAGATCAGGGGGGGGGGGGGGGGCTTGGTTTATTTCTAATTCGATAGCGGTGATTTACAAATGCTGCTGAAATGACATAATTTTCAGAGATTTTTTCCTCAATGTTTAGTAAATTATACTTTTTTATGTGTTTGTTGGAAAATGGCGAATTCATGAAGAAAGTAAGAAAGAATAGTGAATTAAATGCCTAAAACCCTTGAGCTTCGGTGGCTCCACCCATCGACCCCACCAGGGCCCTAAGGCAGGCCCCTGCATGCTTATGTGACCGTTATAAAATGCCTAAAACCCCTGAACTTCCGGGGGCACCGCCCCCTGGATCCCACGCCAATTCGTGACCTGTCAGTGTCACAAATAAGGTATCAAAATATGTTCAGTTGACTGTTATTAAATGCCTATACCCCCTGAGCTTCTGGGGCTCCACCCCCCGGAACCCACACCAATTCTTAACATGCCAGTGTCACAAATAAGGTATACAAATATGCTCACCTGACTGTAATTATTGCCCAAAGCCCCTGAGCTTCAGGGGCTCTGCCCCCTGGAGCTAACCTAATTTGTGTCCCGTCAATGTCACAAATAAGGTATGAAAAGATGCTAATCTGATCGTAATTTATTGCCCAAAACCTCTTGAGCTTCTGGGGGCTCCGCCTGTGGACCCCACGCCAATTTGTGACCTGTCAGTGTCACAAATAGGGTATAAAAGTATGCTCATCGATGGTAATTTAATGTATAAAACTCCTGAACTTCTAGGGGCTCCACCCCTTGACCCCCGCAGGGGCTTCCCCCAAGACCCCACACCAATTTATGCAATGCTCTACCTAATCGTACATACCTACCCCCCCCCCTCCCTCACCTACTTTAGAAACGTTCAGCAGGGCCTGCATGTAAGAGTGGGGTGGTGCGGATCTTTTTTGTCTATCCCCTTGACGAAAATTGTTGGTAATATGTACTTGTCCTAAGGGAATGCTGCAGGGAGGGTGGGCCGAACGGCGCAGCGTGGTCGGACTGATTGTGGGTAGGGGTGATGTACATTATTGTAGCACGCCTTTTTTCTTTATTTCTTAAAAAAAAAAAATTGTTTTTAATAAATGTTTTCGACAAATATTCAAGGCCATGTATCATCCCCCCCCATCGCTATGCCACAGCCATGGGAGTGGGGGTGTCCCCTTTTCAAAATTCCCCTTTCTTGTTATTATTTTGTTTGCTTATTTAATTTTTATGAATAACGACCCTCATTCCGTATTATGAATAGCGACCCTCTTCCCGTATCATGAATAGCAACCTTCTCCCCGTATTATGAATAGTGATCCTCATTCCGCATTATGAATCGAGCAAGGTTACCATTTCTATAATATTGGCATCAAGAGAACTGTACTGGTACATTGGTATGCTTACGAGTCTTAATGTTCTTTTAATCAGGAACAATGTCACAGACCTAAATGTATGACCTTTGAAATATTTCAAGTCATACATATTTTCAAGTCATTGTAAATGTGCAATTCATTTGATTTCAACCCTAAAAGTGTTCAGCAATACTTCACTTTATGTGTAAACCATTGGTAGGATCTTAACACATGAGTAACTAGTATTCCAAAGCTAACCACTTGATATAATAGATGTTAAAACAGTTATTTAGTGTATATGTGGATGCTTTTCTAAGTTTAAACAAAAATTGTTTTGCTCCTTGATTTCACAAATTCTATAACGCACAGTACTTTACCAGATTGCCTCTTACGGTAGCAGGGTATTCATGGAGCATTATCGAGATGGTATCAGGAAGAGAGGTATGAACTATGAAACAATTTTTTTATACGTGATGTTTTTGTATTTTTTATAATTTTATTCATGGATGTACCTAACCCGAAATATAAATCTTTCAAAAACCTGGAACATTTCTTAATAACATAAAACCAACCTTCATGTATCATTGCTTTGAATGGCATGCTTATAAAATATCTGATAATGCTATTGCATAATTTTAAATCAACTGTTGGGGGCTCCTGTTTATGTATCATTATATGATTGTTTTGCACATGTAAGCGTTGCTGGGTGGAATATTATTATAGTATATATTTAATTGTATTTAGGTTTTAAACTGTGATATATTTATCTTTCCCTTTATAGTGTTCGGCAGGTGAAGCGCCACTGCCCAGAATCATCTGAGCAGGACATTGCCCGAGCTATTTGTCCGATGCCCTCTCGCCTTATCCTTGCTGATCACACTGTCCAACACTACAATGTCATCAAGCTGCTCGGAGTGTTTATGCAGTCCAATATCAAATTGTGTCCTTGTAATGCCCTTATTTAACTGTTTAGCAGCTCAATAAATAGTGTACATTCAGAGCTTCTTACTAAAGGTATTACAAAGTTTTGGTAAGGGGTCTTGAATTTGGTTCAAATAAACATATTGGAAGCATATACTATCCTACAATAATCAGTGATCGTTGTCGCGGTTGAAATCGATTCTAAAGTTATGAAATTGTAAATAATTAACTTTTTATGTTGTATAGCTCCCTCTCAAAGTCAATATATTAATTAAGCTATAAAACAATGTTTCTTGACTAAAATCGACCAATTAGCTATTCCGGTTTGGAAATTATATATCACAACTACATATTCTAAGATTTTTATGGTCGCAGTTACCATTGTAAGGTTAATTGTTCAATTTTTCTTTGAAAAAATACATCAGTACAACAGAATTTAATCAAATTTGGCAGGGATTATTCATGAGAAATTATAGGTTGTTGAGGTACCTTGCCCCTCAACGGAACCCCCGAAAATGTCCATACATGTATATAGCAATTTCTTTACTTTGACTCTAAAACTTAATGCTGGCACTCAATAAAATTTGACATTTGAGAGGGGATCTGAATTTGTTTGTATCGATTACCTTGCCCCTCATGAGGACTCAGGGGCAGTGCTCCCCTAAGGGTCTCTTGTACGTAGTGTTGCCAGATGTTTATGCATGAGGGGGGGGGGGTATATTAAAAAAATAATCATCTGTGGTACATTTTCGATGTAGGTACCCAAGGGCACAAGTGATAATATAGTAATATAATATAGTAAGTGATGTGGCCACTAATTTTACAGGCTCTGTTAAACACAAGGTACATTGATCTCTTGTTATACATGTATGTTGTAATGAAGGTATTGAAATGATATTGATATGTAATTATGGTTCAAGGGGAAAAAATATTTGCGTTCATTCCAAAGTTTTCTCTCCACTATTTATACATGTAAATTGTTTAGCAATTGTTCAGCTCTCACATTGCTGAAGCAAATGGTTATTTGATGCCAAATAAGATACTCATATGTTTGCAATTTTCCATTCTCAAATAAGCAGGGGCGGCGATCCCGGGGGGGGGGGGGGGGACGGGGGGGACACGTCCCCCCTCAATTTTTTTTAGGGGGGGGATCTTCCCCCCCTGAAAAATTGAAAAAGTGAGAAAAAAGTGTATAGCAAATACTGACTAAAGACTGCAACAAACTTTTATGCTCTGGAGGGCCCTAGAGTGCAGCGTTTAGACAAATAAAAGTGCAAAATTCTTCCCGCATAATATTCTTCGAAGTGTACAGTAAATATTCTAGAAAAGTGAAGTGTGAAAAAGGTATATTGCTTGTTTTTATACTATTCTTTTGCTAATTAAAGTATGTAATTTGTTAATACAACAAAACTTCAAAAACCTGTGAGGGGATGGTCACTTCCGTAACCTCTACCCCTCTCGTTCTCTTTGCTCCCTCGCCTTGGTCTTATGATGAGGGGGGGGGGGGCTTGGGGTCAGTTGCCCCCCTAATAAAATTCAAACTTGATTTATTTCTAACTCGATACCAGTGATTTACAAATGTTGCTGAAATGGCATGGTTTTTCCCTTAGCTTCTGGGGGCTCTGCCCCCTGGACCCCACCAAGGGCCCTATGGCTGGCCCCTGTTTGCTCATCTGACTGTGATTGAATGCGTAAAACCCTGAGCTTCCGGGGGGTCTGCCCCCTGGACCCCACCAGGGGCTCTAAGACGAGCCCCTGGATGCTCATCTGACCGTTATTAAATGCCTAAAACCCCTGAGCTTCATGGGCCTACGCCCCTGGACCACACCCCAATTGACGCTCCACTTGTTATGCTCGCTTTGCTCTACCTAATAAAATACTTTAGCCTCCCCCTCTATGATAAACGTTCCACGAGGCCTGCATGTACAATGTTAGAGTGGGGATGCAGATTTTTTTCTCCCCCCCCATCCCCCAACGTTTTTGTTCAATATACGCCACTGCTCCCCCGTCCCTCGCATTTCGTCCCCCCGGTCATGAAAAGAAATCGCCACCCCTGCAAATAAGCATTACCGCCAATTATGTTATTAAATGTACTTCTTCTGTTTTGTCTTTCACATTTTTAAGCACATTTTTTAAATGTTCTTGAAAATCTATTACAAAAGCTGTGTGTATCAACTACAGATCTATTTTCCTATGTTCATACTTGGTTATACAGTTTATATTAAAATAACCTAACAAAATTAATGTTACCATAATCATGTTTGGTGTTGGTTATTACTTCATGTGTCAACAAACACTACACGTTTCAAGTGTAATCAGTTTTTGAGAGGTTTCAAGAAATGTAAAGTGTTAGCAGCCCAAATTTTGTGGCAAAAATTAACACACACTTCTGCAAATATTTGTAAAACAAATATGTTTGAAGATTAATATTGATGACAGAATGCCCTATTTGAGTTTACTGTTGTAGGCAGAAAACCCCAATTTCAGTTTCTTAAATTTTGCAGCAGTTTTTGTTTCAATATCACTTTATTAACAATCATGATTATAGTACATACAGTTGTATAGATACTACAAGTAGAAAAGAGAAGAAGCCCAGGTCATGTTTTATTATTAACAATGCAGGGCTAATACTTCATATTATTCATACTGAAATTTGTGATGCATAATGTCAAAGTAATACAGATCAATGCCACTGTGGCTCCAAACAGACAATGTTACATGCATTCAAAATGAATATATAGAATTTAGAAACAATATATGTGACTGATATGTGTAAATTACATTATAGAGAGAGAAACAAATTAATTTTATCTGAACTCTACATTCATAAAAAAGCTGTAGAACAAGTATGAATGATGAATCAAGCATAACAAGAAACGGGACCAAGACGAATGATAGGAAGCAGAAGGAGAAGAAGAAAAAAAGAATGAGAGAGGAAAAGGAGTAGGGGTAGGAGAGAGAAAGAGGGGCAGAAGAAGAAAGAGAAGAAGAAAAATAGACAGAAAGAGAATAAAAAGAAGGGAGAAAAGAGAAGAAAGGAAGAAAAGGAGGGGATCAAGAAACAGGAAGAAAAAGAGTAAGAATGTGGAATATGCATTTTTAAGACTACAGAAGGCTGTGGCCCTCCCAACATGGCTTATCCTTAGAGCAGTATATTGAAAAGGAAGAAGTTACTGCAATCTTTGATACGGTGTAAAATACGTTCAGAAATTATACAGACGTGTCCTTGTAACAAACACAATCGAACAAGATCAAATAATTGGATCAAATTACCATACAAACTGAGTGCTTCAGAGCATGTTTATGGCTTTTTGAAATGATGTTGCTGCATATAGAGTTTTGGCAAGAACTGGATTAGGAGTTGAATGATCATGATCAGTGATCGTAACTTGGTCAACATCCCAATTAATTCCTAATTTAATTCTTCCTTTTCTTTCTACTGTGATTCACGAGAGACCAGACAGCTATAGTAAAAAAATAGTGGACACAAGATATATCATTTAAACCATGAGCGTTTATTCAAATCCGTGCTAAAATCTAGCCGGGATATTCCAATAACAATTAAGGTAGTCTATTTATAAAGCGAAAGACTGCCGCTTTTCAAATTACACTACATTATCATCAAACTTGTCAAATGTGTTGATGTTATTGTCAATGATGATCGATGAACCGACGATGTCAAAGAAACAATTAGGGTCTATTGTGTCGATGACGACAAAGGTAGAGTTTCTGATGATCTCGAAGAAACAAGATTTGACGATGTGGAAAAGAAGACCCAAGTTTCTGACGATGTCGAAGAAACAAAAAGAGACGATGTGGAAAAGAATAGCAGAGTTTCTGACGATGTGGAAGGTAAGCGTAAATCCTGACCTTCAAACAAAGAACGGAAATTGACGGTGTAAATATACAAACTGGGGTTTGTATACTGTCAAACAGAAAGATGGCGTGGTCTTCATACACAGAAACGATGTCGATGATGGCAGAGTAAAGTTATCATGATGATTATGAACGAAGAAACGAATGGTCGATGTCAAAGGTAGAGTTCTGATGATGAATGAAGACGGAAGGTCAATGTTGACGATAAAAAAGGAAAATGGCGACCTTCAAACAACCAAAATAAGGTTTTCAGCACAAAAGTGATGATGCAGGCAAGTCGGTCAAACTGTTGCTTTATTGATATATTGCCGAAACAACACAATACAAAAGAAATATCACTGGATACTGAATGGTGCCAAATAAGCAAAGGTCCTCCCGTTACCACTTTCTCCCATTGCCAAACAGTACTGTTGATCGATTAAATCCAATTGCGTCACATCTATTTCATGCTTGTAGTCAGTAGCTCCTGCAATAATAACATAAAGAATACATTTTTGATTACCGGTACACAGAGAAACAGAATTTAGACAATTATTTGGCAGAGAGATTTTCAGGATTAAATACAAGTTTGATTTTGCTCCAGAAGTTTAGATCTATCACTGCATCAGTGTCACAAATTATCAATTATCTCCAAGCTCTGATACAGTTTTACATATTGTTAGTGTTACCACGGTTAACAGTCCGTGTCTGCATGCATGGGCCTGGCCATGTACAATTTTTAGTTTATTTCTTAAATAAATATCTTTCAAACCCTAGCTGCTCTGCAGTTGCAGTAGCATCACTCTGGAAACAATATCTGACCTAGGCCACACATAGCAGCATTAGTGTACTTTTTTGTATTACCTCTATGAAAATTCAAATCGAGAGTCTACTGTCAAACTTGCTGATCATTTCAGTCGCTTCATACTCATTGTGTTCACGAGTGTGTAACTGTGTGCGATCGATTGCCCTCTCAGAGAGGTCAATACGCGTTAGCATTGTCTACTCGAGTGACCTAGGCTAGGCCCTTGCTTAATGAATAATTCATGTTGTTGCAAGCATTGAAACAAATATTAAAAATAAAATGTCTAGCAATGCAATAATCACTGAAGCCATAGAGCCTACGACTAAATCATCTTCAATACAATTCATACAATCATGCATTATTCTATAGACTCCATCTATACTAGGTACTAGCTAGCCTAGGCCTAGACCGAATTTTCCGTCTCTTTCGTTCGTTAGCCTCTTATTGGGGTAGGGTCGGCCGGCTCTCTCTTTAGAGACGGAAACCGTCTATACACATTCCCTTGATAACGCCACGGCCATTTCAGGTCGTAGCGTTTTGCCCCCCAAATCCCCCAAAATATCATTTTATCTCGTGCATGTTACATTGTAAATTAGGCCAGGTCTAGTGGAGCCAGACGTAGTCTCAGTGGAACAACCGACGATTATAGAGACTGAAGCTTTCGGTCTAGCCTAGGCCTTGGTCTGCAGCTGCATGCAGCTAGTGCACTAGAATGCTACTTATATTCTGCTAGCCGCTGCTACCCATTACTTATTAGTATTAGTTCTACATCGACTCTGTCAGTCTTTGTTGACTCAGTTTGAGAAATTGAGTGTGCTTGTACGTAGATCTAGGCCTACTAATAAAAGTAGGCCTAGACAATTACATTACTCAATAGATATTACAACATGGAAATGAATGTATGGGAAAATGCATTGCCATTGAGTGCATCTAGGTCTAACAGTTAGACCATTAATTGCATACCGGGTAATTCTTCCGCTGTGCAATTACTTTTATCCCTATCTTGTCAAAGATAAAATACAAATAGAGCATAATATGAAGTTAAACCTACCATTTTCACAGAAATCATCGTAAAAACGTCTCGTCATAATAATCGTCTTCAATCAAGCTA